GAGAGAGAGAGAGAGAGAGAGAGAGAGAGAGAGACAGCGTGAGCAGGGGAGGGTCAGAGAGAGGGAGACACAGACTCTGAAGCAGCTCCAGGCTCCGAGCTGTCAGCACCGAGCCCGACACGGGGCTCAAACCCACGAACCGTGAGATCATGACCTGAGCTGAAGTCAGATGCTCAACTGACTGAGCCACCCAGGCGCCCCTAATTTCTTTAAATTATGTAGAACAAGTAATGTCAACTTTTTTCCCCACATGTTTATAACCCATCTGTGTCTCTTTTTTTGGTGAACTCCCCTTTCCCATTTTTTTTTTTCAAAAGTTTTTTCAAAGGCTTTTTCTTGGGGCCTTTTATGGGAGGCTCAGTGGGTTGAGCGTCTGACTCTTGGCTTTGGCTCAGGTCATGATCTCAGGGTCTTGGGATCGAGCCCCAGGTCGGGTTCTGTGCTGACAGCACAGAGCCGGTTTAGAATCCTTTTTTCCTCTCTCTTTCTCTCTCTCTGTCCCTTTGTATCTCACTATCTCTCTAACTAAAAATAAATAAACATGAAAAAAAAGTTTTTTTAAGGGTCCTTTCCTATTCATTTGTAGGAACTCTTTATATATTAAGGAAACTAGCATCTGGCATAGGGATGTTCACAGTCTGTGTGAAGATCTGGTGAAGCTATTCTCCTCTGTCATCTCCCACAACCCCCGCCCTGACGATCCTCACAAATTTTTCCATAAGAATTTCCGAATCAGCTTCTCTAGTTCCAAAAACCACCCGGGGAGCATTCACCTCTCGGGCCATCTCTCCTCCCCTCTCCCTCCCCTTCCAGGGTGTCTGGGCCTCAGTGCTGTGATGTTGGGACCGAAGAATTCTTGGCTGTGGGGTAATCGGCTGCCCGTGGCTTCTGTTCACCAGGTGCCCGGAGGAGCGGCAGCCCACTCTCCCGCCAGGACCGTGAGACGCGGCCCCACACGGCGTCAAGTGTCCGGGAAGTGCGCACGGAGCCCGATCTGGCTGCCTGGGACCCGTTGCTGCCCCCCGAGCAGGCGAGCCGCACGCGCTGGACCGTCCTCTGCCCTCAGCACACGGGGTCGGTCGCTTCTCACGTCCTTGCAGGG